ATATATATATATATGAATATTTACATGCATATGTGCATATAGACATTCGCGTAAATTCTTTCGTGTTCGCACTTTAACTCGCAGTTGTTTCACGAAGCCTCTTCTGGATGGTTCCAAGACGAAGCGAGGCCATTCTTTCGAGAAAGCCTTGGAACAAAGCGGTTCCACAGGACACAGAAAAGCCGTCAGTTCGGCGAGAGCAATCCCACCGATTGCGCCAGACACCAAAGTTGCCTTTAATCTTGTTGGCTGGTTCTCCATCCGATGCTAATCCGTCCGGCAGCCGGTGGTGCCGTCAATGCCATTTGTCGCTATTGCCTCGCTGGCCTCAGTGTTGTCTCACGACATCTCATGACATCAACCTTGCAGTCAGTTGTGGGGCTGCCCGGCAAGCGTTTGTTTGGCCTACCGAAACGGTAGAAAAGCAGATAAAAGCATGCATTTCCCCCTTTCTGTTGAACATCCTTAGACCTCGGGCAAGTCTTACTCATCGAGCCTGAACGGCGAATATGGTCCACCGCATCACTGACCTCAGGCTTCACATTTTTACGCCGATTGCCCTACCCACATTCGTCTGCTTTTGTAGCTGCATAGTTTGTCCTGTTGCGTCTATGCGATTTATCCCATCGCATATGATTGCATAAGCCAGGCCAGGGCACAAATGAGCCGCCATTTTGACTCGGTCTCTGACGCAACCGACCATCCATTTCCACGTCTCAGGCCTGGTTGCCGCTCGATACAAGCAATCAGACCTTGCCTACACTCTTTTGGCCTCGTCTTCATCTGCCAAGGCCCACACCTTCCGGTCCACTCCCTTCCCGTCGTCATGTCGCCAACACCAACTCGGCTTGACAGGCCGTCGAGGTGGGCAGCCGACACGCACGTGCACACGAACAAGCCCACTTTCGCCCAGTCCAGTCAGGCCAACCGAGTGTCATGACGACCGGGCCCCGTTAACGCATTAAGACTTCACAGTTCGAGACGGCCTCAGCTAAAAGCCGTCCGAGG